CTTCCTTGTAGCTGGAATGAGTGTTCATTGATATTCGAAGACGGCGGCGGGGTGGGAGGAATACAAGCCGAGATAATCGGGTTTGAGTCTTTTTAGGGTGGGGGCGCAATGGTTTTTGGACTGAGTCTTTTTAGGGAGGCCCTCTCTATACAATAATTTCAAAAAGAAGCGAAAAAAAAAAAAAGCATGTCTACTGTTGTCCAACTTGATCTACATTTCGTCTAGATCACTAGCAAGATCAACCTCAGGGTAGTCACCCACGCGAACATAGGACGGGCGAACAAAAGCGCCATAACTTTGGGGACAGACAAAGTACTTGACACCGTCTACGGATCCATTGTTCTTGCCCAATGGCTCGTCATACTGCACACCAACCCAGTATCCTGGCTTGAATTGCGTCCGCCCAACAAATCGAACAACGCCGCGCTTTGCCATCGACGCATCGACAGTAACTTCGCAACGTTGGCCGACCGTGATGGCAGCCGCCTCTTCCTTGCCTTCGTCATTCGGGTCCTTTGCATCGTCTGCAAAGCGGCCTAGCTTGTTATTGCGCTTGAACGATCGCACGGTATCTGCACATCCCGATAGCAAAGCGGTGAGACCACGAAAAGTGCCGGGTGGACTTCAAGAAGGAGGTAACTTTGTATCACAAACCTGCTCGCTGATCATATTGCTCCTCGTTGAGTTCAAACTTTTCCACTTGAGATAAATCCTCAAACTCGCCGACACGCTTGGATGGATCGAGGTCAACCACCTAGGATGGCATCAGCATGAGCAAGTTCGCCCGGTTTTTTTGTTGCAGTCACGTCTCCGTGCAAATCTCTTCCCCGCAAAGCATGCACAGAAATCCACTCAATGAAAATGGACAGAGCGAAGTGGCTTGCCATACATGAATGCGCCAGTTGTCTTCGGCTGGGTAGGCGCCGAGCATGGCGTCGTCGTCAGCCATGTCGCCAGCGAGCTTGTCCCGCGGATCGAACAGCTGCAGCTGCATCTTGGAGTTGCTTGATCCAACCATCATCTCAAGCTTGACCTGCACAGAGTCGGGGAGCGGGTCGGGGGACAAACCCAAAAACGCGCGGGAACGGTAAGCATCTGCAAACGGGCATCCCGCATCAGCGAACGAACGCAGGTTTGTGCGTGATGGGCTACCTTGAGTTGACGGATGGTAAGTGCTTTGTCAAACCGAGCCTGGCGCGCAATGGCCTGACTTGAGAGCGAGCTGGTGACAAACAGATTGATCGTCGACATGCTTTGCTGCTGTGAAACAAAAAGGTAAGACTGAATCCGTTCGCTTGGTGTTGAGATGTCTGTCATGTTGGAATAGTGTTGTTTATTCAGGCGCGACGCAGATAATGGACACATCGAAAGGGGGGGGGGGAAACAAAGCGAAACGA